ATAGTTATAGTTTAACATAACACTACTACTTTAACAACTCACATTAATATGGGGGTTGAATTTCACATCAAAAGTTTATACAGAGATCTAGCAACAATAATTTCAAATGACAATTTTTTTGACTAGTCTTTTTTAGTGGAGTTCATGTACTTATTACAACTACTTGCTTTACTTAAAAAATATATGATATTGTCATTTAATCGACATTATATTGTATCATTAATTGCTATATGCTCAGATGGGAATAATTACTAAGGCTAGCTAAGATTGAACTATATGAAAGTTACACCATCCTTTTAAAACCTTCATTACACAATTGAATGTTGAATATACCTTTCTTTTACTTTATCTAATCTAGGTGGAACTGACTGACAATAATGTCAATATATATATTTAACCAATTAGTTGTGTTGTGGCCTACACCACATATGCCCAAATACTTCAAATTCACTGTTGTTTGCTCATGCAAAAGCCGAGGATTTGCATGGAATCAATCTCCTTAGAGTTAAAACTTAAATTTTTTTAAATAGCCACAATGGTTGAAGGCGCAAATAATGGGCATTTTGATTTTTTTTTTTGTTCTCAAAACCGACTGACCAAACCATTCGCCTTCTAACTGATGCCAATATATCCTCTTATGTGATTTCATGCTCCCCTGCAATCATGGGAATATATCCTCTTATTGATGGCAATATATCCGCTTATGTGATTTCATGCTCCCTCCCATTTCTCTACACTACAGGAAATTACTTTCCAGTTCTACCTGATGCTGACATCTTAATTTGGAGGTTTGTTATGGTAAATAAATACTTCAGCACATAAAAAACAAGAAACTCTAAAGTTTAAGTTGTTACCTATAAACTTCAAAAAACTTAAAGAAGAAGATGCTGGACTGTAGAGTTTGAGCCGGAGAACCACACCCAACGAAGAAGAAGAAGGAGAAGCTGGGAGAACTAGACCCGATAAAAAAGATGGAGAAGTTTGAGCTGTGAAAAAGCGGGAGAACTAGACTGGACGAAGAAGAAGCGGGAGAAAGAAAAGAGAGGGGTCTGATACTGATTTGCCTGGATCAATACGACGTAGTTTTGATAAGGGAGGAAAAAAAAAAAAGCAAAAACAAAGAACAAAACTGTGCCGTTTCATTAAACCGCAAGACATGCGGTAAGTCACTCACCGCAGACGAGCTGATCCCCTCTCTCCTCTGCGTTCTCTTCTTCTTTCTTGCATCTCCAGACTTCCATTAAAATCTCCGCCCACTCTCTCTCTCCTTTCTTTATATTTTCTCAACCAAACCCTCTTTCCTTTTTATATACATTCCCGATCACAAGCTGTACATATACAATCTCTCTCTCTCTCTCACACACACACTTCTAGAGAGAGAGAAGAGGAGAAAATGGTGGCCATGTTGCAGGGAATTGGAGTAGCGTCAGCATCTGCAACACCTCTAGATCACTACAACAAATTGGGTGTTTCCTCTGTCCAATCACTCCCAGGTTTTTCTTTTGTTTGTTTAGTCTCTCTCTCTCACTCTCTCTCTCTCTCTCTCTCTCTCTCTCTCTCTCTGTATATATATATATATATATATATATATATATATATATATTTTCTTCAATATTTTTTTTACTTTCCGTTCGGTTCTGAGACAATAAAGGAAAAATGTAATGCAAGAAATGAAAATTTAAAATTCGAATGACAAGAAACCTAATGAGACCAATCAATTTGTAAGCAATTTATTAAATTCAATCCGGGATGATAGAAACTTGAGATTCAGCACGACAAATTCTCTCTCTTTTCCCTCCTACATTTTCTTAATAAACCAAAAGGAGCTCAAATTATTCATTGTAATTTTTTTTTTGTTTCTTTTGTTTGCTGTTTCATTAGTGATCAGATCCGAGGGAAGATCGAATTTGGGATCCATTTTCGGAGTCTGCAGGGCAAGAAAATTGATTACCAAAGCCGTTGCAGTTAATACACTAATCCCCTTTATTGTATTTTTGCCTTTGAACTTTGTTGTTTTGTGTTAAAGAATTGGTATTGTGTTGTGTTATTTGTGGTTTTCTCAGGCAAAGGCTGATAGCAATGCAACTTCTGACTCTTCAAAAACTGGGTAAGTTTTCTTTGATTGGTCATAACCACTGTAATGCTGGATAATAATTTTGCCTCTTGTGGTGTGCACTCTGCATCCAGCTCATTGATTCACACTTTGTCTTCTCCTAACTGAGTTGTGACTCTATAATTTAGAAATAAAATGATTGGATAGAGAATACATGTTCTTGATAATTGATACCAGTATACTACTGGGGATGAATCTGGCTATGCGCGCGCACACACACAAAAGTATGTGTACATTAAATTTGTCAAATAAAGGAAGACCTATGTAGCCGACCTAAGTCGATGCATATAATCACTGTTCTTGCAGTTCTGCATTTCTTTTTCTGTTTAGAAATTCGTTCTCACTGGGTTATAATGAATGATAATTTACGCCACCACATGAATGCTAAATGCTAGGAAGCACGAAAGCAGATATGAGATAGAGGTATGACACGTTACAAATATGACAAAATCTCAAAGAGTAAAATACGGATACGGCTAGGATACACGCACACACACACACACACATATATATTTATGTATGTATGTATGTATGTGTATATATATTAGAATGTTATTACAACACTAGGAATATGAGAGATTAAGAATTAAAATATATCCAAACTAAAGTAATTTATGTTAGTGACATAGGATTGCATAATGGTGTTTTCAATTTAAGATCGTATGTAATTCTAAAGTTGAAGACATGTAACCCTTCGAGAGTCCACAACTTTTACTTACATTTAACTGCAATAGATTTCATTAAGTCATAAAAATTCATTATTCGAGCAAACTAAATTGTAAATAATTGACAAATCTTTGTGTAATGCACATTCAAATAAATATCTTGGAATGAAGGGTCCCTATTTTTATGGTTCATAGTTTCTAAACAACCCGCTTCACTAAATATATGTGTACCCAAGGTATATCTGACAAGTATCTAACAATGACAAATAATTTATTAATTATTTAATACGTGCAATAAATATCTGATACGTTTTAGATACGAAAACGTCACCTCAATCAAAGTATCCGTGTTTCATAGGCTAAAAGTACATAGATACAAAGGTGGAGGGACATTAGGGCCAGGGCGCCTAGGCCCACCCTCAAATTTTGGAATATACATATCATTTTGTTAAATATTTTTTAAAATAATTTTATTGTGCCCACCTTAATATTTTCATATAAACTAACACAAAATGACTGAGCATGTTACGGACACGCTTCAGGCATGTTTAAATATATTTGGATATATTGAAACTCATTTTGTAAATTTTTTTAAAAAAAAAAATTATGAGCATAGGATTATTTTGTAATTTTTAGTTTTTTTTATATGAATTTTTTGCTAATTTTAGGATTAATATATTGAATCAAAAGTAAGATTACTATATTACATTTTTGCTAATTTTTAGCGTATTTTTTCTCAAAATTCTTGTTTAACGTTTTTTTTTCTAAACTATGAGATGCAACCAATCTTTAATTTTTGGTTTGGTGTAATTTATTGTGGTAGATTTTTTTGTGATTGATATATTTTTGGGTATAATTTATGATTTTTTTTTGTTTGTATTCTTAATTTAAACGTGAAATTACTTGTAATTGACATACAATTAATTTTTAATTTTCAACGATTGATCTCTGATGATGTGTAAACTCAAAACATGAGATTGAGTTGCTTAAGCTGAAGAGCTTAAGGCTTGTGTGTGTGATAATCCAAGTATGCAGGTAAGTCCAGAATACCAAGAACATGCAGATTGTAGTGGTTCACTAGTTAAAAAGCTTGGTTAATCCACTCTAATATAGTCTCTTGTTTTGAGGATTTTCTATTGCTTGTTTACAATGTATTTGATGCCTTCTCATGAGAAGGCCTTGGTGTTGTATACCCACGGGTGGAGTGATCCCCTTGTCATCATCACATGGTCCCCAAGTTTGTTAGAATTTCGTTAAGGGAATATTGAGGTCGTTAGGGACTACATTCCCTAGGTGTGATGCGATGTGGCCTTTTAGAAACAGGATGACTTCATTCTAGAAGGTTGAACTCCTGAAACCACTGGATGAGCTGTTGAGTTGGAACTTGATGGTCTGTACATCTTTCTCTGCTGGAGGGACCTGCTGATCATCCCATCCATGGTCTTTGAAGTCACGCTGATTGAGATCAAGTTGTGATAAGAAAAAATCGATTTATTGATCATGATATCATCAACCTCTACGTAAACAAATATAAATTTATCGTTATTTTTATCGATTATAAAATATTAATTATATTTTAGAATTGAAGTGCCTACAATAAACAAAATTCTTGGCTCCGCCACTGCATAGATATATATGCAGTTTGGCGATCTTAATATTCGTTTAGGCTCAGTGGTTTACTTGATATCAGTATGGTGGTTGCTAAGAATCTACGCGACTCTGTGATTTATTTAGCCTTGGTTAGGTGGTTGGTTACCTATTAAACTGATTGTAAGTTGTTTGGTGATTAGTGTGGTTCCTCCGTGAGTTGACACTTAAGTAACCTCAAGTTATATTAAAATTAACCCTTTCGCACGCTAGAGGACAGGAGAAGAGAAAATTTGGGAAGAAGAGGGAAGAATTTCATCAGCTAATAAAAAATTGATTGAGCTCTTAAAGTTTCCATATACATAACATTTGCTTTGGGCTGACGTGTTCTCCTGATCATGCCCAATGACCTCACATCAAGACTCCGTTCTTGTCAGTCTGAGATGAATAGTTTCTCTTTCGGACATTCCATTTCTCTCCTCATGGAAAAAAGGAAAGTCATTTTCTTTTCTCTTCTATTCAAAAACCACCTTTTTGCAATCTTGTCGACCCACATAAAACTCTGAGCATATTTCTGCCCCTGCCTTAAATGTTTTTTAACCCCTACTGAAAGTTGAATTTGTTTAACTTCCCTTAGTTTGCCTTTATGTTTTTTCTTGTTTTTGTGTGTGTGTGTGTGTGTTCCTCTGTGACTTTCTTTTTGAAGTAGGAAAGGAAGCACTCAGTTCACTTGAAAAATTGAATCATTATTTCCTTTTGTTCTTGGGTATCCACAAAAGAAATCACCCTGTTAGGTTGTAGAGACCTTTTTCTTTACACATCATCGACATGATGATTTTAGGATTTACAGAAAATGCATGACTGGCTTTTTTCAATAGTTAACAATTAGAGGTTTCATTCACTGCAAACTTGGATGCTGAAGGTTGCCTAGTTGTGGGCCAATCATAAGGAATTATCTTTCTTGTTCATCATTCATGTGACCTTTATTTGAGGGATACAAATTACATCCTCAATTAGTGAATATAATTTGAAGTTGAAACTCACTTGCCTGTCATTCCTGATTTCTCTTGTACATCCGGTAAGATGAGTTACGACCTTAACTTGCAAGCGTTCTGATTGTTTTTGGTTCAGGATTACTTTATAAATCAAGCAAAAAATCTTTATTTTTCCTTTCTAACTAGTCAGGATCATGATTCTCAATGTGTGCTGTCTATTTTTCAGTATCCAGTAATTCTTTTCTCTTGATATCTCGCTTCTAATCTGGAAAATGGTGATTATGCTTTTTCTAATAATTTGTTCATCTATCCTCAGGTATGAGCTCTTGCTGTTTGAAGCCCTAAGAGAAGGGCTCGAGGAAGAGATGGCCAGAGATCCTCGGGTTTGTGTTATGGGGGAAGATGTGGGCCACTATGGGGGCTCGTACAAGGTTACTAAGGATCTGGCTAACAAGTTTGGAGATCTCAGAGTGCTCGACACACCCATTGCTGAGAACTCCTTTACAGGCATGGCCGTGGAGCAGCCATGACAGGCCTAAGGCCAGTTGTAGAGGGCATGAACATGGGATTTCTTCTATTGGCTTTTAATCAAATCTCTGACAACTGTGGCATGCTACATTACACCTCAGGTGGCCAGTTCACCATCCCCACTGTGATCCGTGGACCTGGTGGCGTTGGGCAACAAACTTGGAGCAGAGCATTCACAAAGGCTTGAGTCATATTTTCAATCAATTCCGGGAATACAATTGGTTGCCTGCTCAACTCCTTACAATGCCAAGGGCCTAATGAAGGCTGCCATCCGTAGCGAGAATCCCGTGGTTCTCTTTGAACATGTCCTCCTTCTCTACAACCTCAAAGAGAGGATTCCTGATGAATAATATGTTCTGTCACTAGAAGATGCAGAGATGGTGAGGCCTGGGGAACATATCACAATCCTTACATACTCCCGGATGCGGTACCATGTGATGCAAGCTGCCAAGACCCTTGTGAACAAGGGATATGATCCTGAGGTCATTGATATTAGGTCTTTGAAACCATTTGATCTTTACACCATTGGGAATTCAGTGAAGAAAACACCCTGCGTTCTTATTGTTGAGGAGTGCATGCGAACGGGTGGCATTGGTGCCAGTCTGACTGCAGCTATAAATGAGAATTTCCATGATTATTTGGATGCCCCCATTGTTTGCCTGTCCTCTCAGGATGTTCCTACACCTTATGCTGGGACATTGGAGGAATGGACTGTCGTTCAACCTGCCCAAATAGTGGCTGCCGTTGAGAAGCTATGCCAGTAACAACAGCAGCACCACTGTGGAAGTTTTGTTGCCCTAATGGTCTCTTGTTTCTTTTCAAACAGAATATTAGGTTTTTGATAGTCATTCTGGCTTTGTTTCAACTTTATTCAGCTTGTAGTAGAATTTCTGCTGTTGCAATTTTACTTTTTTAAATGCTGATGCTTATGGACATAGTATGTGTTTAGTTCCCGATACATGGAATTCACTTAAAGGATTTCTCTTTTTTGTTATTTCTTTCTGGCATTGGGTTGAAATCCGGTTAATAAATATGGGTTATTAAATTACATTCCTTATTATTTTAATTCTTATCATCGCACATCTAGGACTTTGACAACATGTTACCCTTGCACTTCACTAAACACAATGACTCAGTGTAAAATGTTGCCCATGGTTGGTAAAGCAACAACTACATAAGGGAGAATACTGCTAAAAACTGCAGCATCCTTGGGATAGAAAGCTTACTCATAGGACGAATCAGTATGGTAATAAAACTCAGCAAAAATAAGATACTGGAGGCTCTTACATTGTCCATTAAGCTTAATCGTAGAGTTTTGCTTGCATCTGACAAAGCACAAGTCTATGTGCCAGTTTAGCCAATATTCCAAATCTGCCACCGAGTAGTCAAATATGTTCAAACTTAAAGTTGTACCATGAATGTATATGTTAATCTTTAACTATTTTGGACTTTAATCTTCATTATTTTGACATTGTAGGATAGCTCTATAAAGGTTAATGGTTTATCCTTTATACTGCTTAGATTTCACTGTGTATGGGCTGCGCGGAAGTATCACACTGAAACCTTGTAAATTTTGGTTGTAGATAATCTTTTTTATAGAAGCATCTTGAAAGTTGCTTTGTGTTTTATCATCCCCTATATATATATATATATATATGAACGTATTTGAGCCACAATAATTTAGGCTCCTTTTAGATTTAAAGTTATAACCAAAATAGTGATAGGATATCGTAACTCTTGACCACTAATGGCAGGCTTGATAACTGAGATTTTCTTACACCAGTTAGAATAGGTCTATCCAGTAGTGGAATTAACTATTGTTGCTGTCAATTCCATGCTTACATGCTACTTGAGCCCTCAAACAAATCAGTTTTCTATTCCAGCGGTCATTTGCTGGTTAATCACTGTTTTATCTAGAATTAAACCCCGTGTGAAGGGAAAGCTCTATAATATTTTATGCTTGTCCAGGAACATGCATTGAAAATGTCTTACAGTGTCTCCAGATCTCTGCAGACTAGTCGTTGAGACTTGAAAATGGCAATTTTGAGTTGCTGCGGGAAATAGCTGTATAATATGTTTGGATTGTTGCCATCCAAGCTGATAAAGTGTAGAAGTTCCCGTGTGTACTGAAATGAGTGTAATGCATACTAGATTACTAGATAAAATGCATGTTTCCAAAAGCATTCCTTGTTTAGTCGGAGAGTAGACCATGGTGTTTGTCCTTCCCAAGCAGATAATGGATGATAACAAGCATTTGTTTTCATGAGAATTCCTTGTTTTGTCCCCCCTTTTGTTTGGACTGAGTTCTCTTTAAAACATGGTTTGCTTCCTATCTTGTTGATTGGTTTTCAAATCTTGGCATGTGGGATGCTCTAATTATCGCAATTGATTTGATTTTGCAAGGCTGTCAGCAGATACTTCTAGACTTGGTATAATCTGCGCTACCTTCTATATTTTAGTTTTAGGTGCAAAACAAAATGTTGCATATCTTCGTTTTAAATTAGTTTGTTTTCTTTTGTGGTTGATCTTCATTCAATGGGCATGTTTATTATAGTTTATACGTTCTATTATTTCTACTTCTTTTGTTACTTCATATAATTCAGATAGATCATACTTATATCTGACTGATGGCATCATATGCTTAGCATCAGCATATATATATATATATATATATATAAGCACACCCACACTGCTTATGTCTTCCCACAGAGAACACGGAACAACAAATTTTCTCTGCATGCAACATTTTTATTTCTGTTAGTTCAGCAGTAAGATAGATGATGCAAGAGATTTTCTCCTTTCCTATTTTTAAATCTCTTCTGGATTGTGAATGTTAGGCAGTCATGTGGGTGAGGCAAGCAACGATGCCAGCATTATTGCAGGATGAACCACGAAAAAGCTGATGTGGACAAGGACGAAGCAATAATAGGACGACACATAGCAAACCTCTTTTGAAAGGGACCCAAATGATCCCTTCTAATTTGTTCAATTCTCACATCATTGTTGGTCATGGGGACTATTTTCTTTCCTGGTGGCACCTTATAACTCATCTTCTTTTCCATTATTTTCTCCAGCGTTTGGAAGAATTGGGGTAGACTGGCTATGTTATATCCCAATCATCATGTCCGTCTTTCAAGCCTTTGGAGGATTAGTTTGTGTAAAGGGATCTGGTGGACCAATTAATTGTGGTTGTGAGAGGTAGGGCATCAATGTCTTACATATGGTGGCATTCCCAGAAAGTTGGTTCTTCAACTTCTGCTTGATTAAAGCTGTTTCTGTTCCATTCTGGCTTTGATTCATGTACCCCCATTGAGCCATATCTGAGTTGTGTGGAATATGTCCTAAGCAGGTTTGTTTTTTTGGATCAGGATGGCCTAAGCAGGTCGAACCCCAAGCTTACAGTTGTTGAACCAGTATATTTCCTACTGCACCAAGCAAATGATTGTAAGAGGTGGGTTGAGAGGTTAACAAGCTTGGAACCCCAAGTTATGAAACCCTTCAAGTTGAGTTCAACCCAAATATTGTTCATGCTTGAGTTTTAAGGCGCGGGTTTAACAGTTGGTGCTAAAATTTGAGTTCATTTTTGGATTTGATTGTCTGAATTTATTTTCGAGTTAAATCTAACGGGACATTTTGTGACGAGTCCCATCATGTGACAAAAGAGGTTGTATCAACTGGCATACAACTCAAGGGGCTAGGATTCCAAGAAAGAAATGTCAGTTTTTTACTAACTCCATTTATAAAAAATAAAAGATGAGTTCTGTCTGTATTTATCTTTCTTTCTCTGTATAAAATATGGGTGAAACCCCAAAGATTGGGAGACCTTGGTATAAAAACTCTCAGCTCCATACCTCACACAGACATTCTTATCATTTTACTAGTTTTATGCACTTGCATGTTTGGTTATTGATCGTATTACTGACTTAGGTCGGGGGTCCCTCTAACCTCGTAATGGTTTTGCAGTTGGTGGACTGGATAAATATTTAAAGACTAATGGTGCACTTTTAACATTTTAGTGATTGTGCGAAAATTATCCGGTAGAGAATCCATATCTGATTATTGGACTGCACAATCCAAGTTTGAAAGTTGAGTTCTATTCGGATGGAATACAAACTAAATAAGTCTGATTTGCGTCTTGAAAACCAATTAATAGTCTGAATTGTTTAAAATAAGTTTCTGTAATTTAAGGTTATCTACTTATCCACCCTAGAAGTTCATAGTAAACCAATTAGGTAGCTTCTTTGTGTTGATGAGCTCTCTGCACACGTGAATGTGCGAAAGGACTAGGGAGATCAATTCGTCATCTTTAAATGATAATACGTAGGGGCAGGGAAGAGAAGAGAGGGAGCGTGCTGCTTTGCCATAGTCGCGAGCCTGTTTATAATCGCGACTGTTGTCATAATCAACAAGGTCATAAACCAATTAGGTAGCTGCTCTGTGGGGATGAGCTCTCTGCACACTTGAATGTGCGGTTTCTAGTTATATATAAAATTCAGACAGAACAACAGCCACAAGAAAAAAGAAAACTAGGCCTCCACGAAAGAAGAAAACTTGGTATGATTTGTTTTTTTTTTTTTTTTTAAATATAGGAGGATCAAATGACTAGAGTCGTACCATGATTAGGTTATTTTATTTCGGGTTCATGACATATTTATATCATATTTGTATATTCCCAAACAACCAATATTTTATTCAGAATGATTCATTCATGTTTGATTCTAACTCGTTCCATTTATTATTCAAATTATATGATCGTGTCATGTTTGAACTAGAATTCGACACCTCTTAATCAAATACATCATGGGAAATTGGGTGTGCCGACAGAGAACATAGTATGGAGGCAATTTCCTCTAGGAAAGAGGTGGGAAAGAGGGTCTTATTGGTGTCAATTTGTTTGTTAATTTAGTGATTCACATAGTATTGTGGTAGGCAGATTTGTGTAGTCTTGTGGAATGATGTATTTTATATATATATATTTATATTTTTTTTTTAAAAAGTGAGGTTTTTTAATAATATCATATAATTATATTACTTCTTTGTATGTGAAGAATACATCATGTGATTCGTCATGCTCCATAGTTTTGTGAAGGGCCCTCACTTCATGTAACATAAATAAAAGCAGTGGTCGTTCACGTTCACTCACTCAAGTTAGGAATGCAAAAAAAAAAAGGTGGAATTAAAAGCATAGGAAGCCGAAGTTGTTTCTTTTACATTCTCTTCAACCAGAAGTAAAGTTTTTTATTTGTATAAATACTCTATTTCTCTTCGTTTTTTTCCTTATTACAAAAGTAAAATATCATTTGTGTTTTCTTTTCTAACGACGACATTGGTTTCCAAAGAAAAATTAGAATTGATAATTTTTAATAATTATTTAATTTGCCACAAATTTATAATACAATAGATTCACCGTAATAAATTTGGATCATAATTGAGTTGGCGGGCATTACGCTTTTAATAAATAAGTCTACACAACATTAACTTAAAATGAAAAAAAAAAAAATTAACTACATACGGTTTACTCCCAAGATGAAGCTGTCTAGAAATGAGTTATGTATAAGGTGGACAAATTTTAGACTGATATGACTTAGATGATACGAAATAGTCATGGCATGATTCATGATCAAACCTAAAAACATTAAACAAAAATTAGAGAAAAGATACAATTTGGTATGAAAGAGGGCATGAATGGGGCTATATTATAACATTATGAAATAGACATGACATGATTCATGATCAACCCTAATAATATTAAATAAAAATTAGATAAAAGATACAATTTGGTATGAAAGAGAGTATGAATAGGGCTAATATTATAATGTTACGAAATCGTCATGGCATGATTCATGATCGACCCCAATAACATTAAATAAAAATTAGATAAAAGATACAATGTAGTATGAAAGTGGGTATGATTGGGGCTAATATTATAACATTAAATATAATATCGTACCCACTAACTGAAACGAGGTTATAGGTCGTCGGCAAACCATTCTTTTTGATTTGATGCCACATAGATTTCGACTATGAAATAAGGTTT